TCCACACGGCTAACTTCCTTGTGGAAAGAATGAAAAGATTCATCTAGTTTACCATTTTTTCCAGTTTTTTGCTGAAAATCGAATCAGATCTAAGTTGCATAATTATGCATCGAATGCAATTAGTCTCACGATATCATTTTTTTTTGAGATAATCGAGATGAAAAATAATTGCGAAGGCACAAACGCCCGTACGTACACGCAGAGAAATGTATGGTAAAAATTACCCTGAATTTTATAGTAATTTGGTGACACTGCAGGGTGAGAGTAAAAATTACTGTGCATATTCTAAAAATTACCATACTGCATAGTAATTTTTAGGGTAAAAATTACTATGCAATATGGTAATTTTTAAAATGTGCACAGCAATTTTTACAATGTGTATAGTAATTTTTACCCTCACCCTGTAGTGTCACCAAATTACTATAAAATTCAGGGTAATTTTTACTATACATTTCTCTGCGTGTATACACACATACACACATCCACTGAAAATCTGTCGTATTCAACTCTGGGGACCTCAAAATGTGGAAATATGTCGGAATTCGAGATTCGCGAAATCGTTCTCATTAAAATAACTTCCCACTGGGAAGTTAACAATGTAACATAATAATTACTCAAAAATTGAAACGACTACTTACTTATATTACGAACTAAATGATAATAATATAAAAAAACATTTCTCTGTTTATTCACGTGTTTTTTATTTCTTACACATAATATAATTTCAGTTTTTGAGTATACAGTTTCCTTTGCATAATTACTGTAAAATAATATTTTAAATGATTCAACGTAGACTTAATTTCTAAACTTTCACCAGAATCATTTCTATAAATTATACTTGAGTATTTTTCACTATTTTATCATTCTAGAAGTTGAATGTATATTGATATCTTCAGGTAAATTTAACGATCAGTCTGCCAAGTTAAAGTCTTTATGCCATTTTTAGCATAAAGCATAAAGTATTATTGAGCACAATTTAGATTATCTACACAAATATGTTTCCAATAACGTTTGCATCTGTCTCTTAGCAGATTTTTTTGCGAAAATATTCCAACGCTAGAATAGTAGTCTCTGAATATGAGCATTGATTTTTTCTAATAGCTTGCATAATTTTTTTCTTGAAAAAAATGTTCTCTCACAAATAATGATTAAATTTTCCACTAGAACATAAATCACTCCTTTCAGACGTGAAATAAATTATTAAAACTTTACAATAATAGTTAGTAAGTGTTTAAGCACTTAAACTTTAATGCGTCGTTATACATTAATGTACATAAAGCACTTTGCCATATTTACTCTAAATCATGGCCAATTGAAACAATAAACTTTGACCAATCATTTATAATTCTGTGAATTCTCTTCCGATTAATTTAAAATAGGAAAGAGAAGATGAGGAAAACTTACTTTTATGTCATCGATCGATTGTTAATATACCCCTTTTTTATGAATTGTTTATAACGTGTCATGTCGTGATAAGTAACGCAATAAATAGCTGCTGAGAAATTTTCCTGAATTATTTTTTTTTTGTAAAAGTTCCAATCATAGTCAATAAGTACTTTGATTTATAATACATTTCGAACTTAAGAAAGGAATTAATACAAGCGTGCAAGTAGTTAATGTCGATTTAAGTCAGACTTAATTTTCAGGGCAACTGAGATGACAGACGATGGCAGAAACAACTTCTTTCCTATAAATTGAAGTTTCCGTAGTTTAATTTTTCTAAAGAAAGTGCAATCTCATATTTGTATTATTTCAAAATTGTAATTAAATTATTAATGTAATGAATTAATAATTGGCTTTTAAATTTACTTGTTAATTTAATAAATATCCTAATCAGTTCTATCCCATTTGTTAATTTATTTAAACGAAAAGAATATTTGATTATTATTTTTAAATCCTAATGCAACAATATCTTACTCCATCCCAGGTATTGCACTAGATGTAGGCTAAAAAGAAGTGATCTTTGAGATGTCTTTTCAATAAATTATGACATCAAATATGCATTAATAACAATATTTTCAAGGTATATAACACAAAAAAAAATTTCTTTGTAGATTTTTTTCATATTGCTGTTACAAAATGTAATACCTATTTTAATTCTATTTTTATCCTGAGACTATCTTTTCTTAAGGTATAACTCAAGATAAACAAATCTTAATTAAAATAGGAATACGAAAAAATCAGCGTCTTTGTAGGAAAAAAATTTTTCATTTTTATCCTAAATTCATACTAATTTTATCCTATCTTTACTTTTTTTTCATTCGCCTCATCTTACATTTGTTTCATACTTTTTCTGGTTTCAATCTGACTTTATTTAAGATTCGACTAATTTCATTTTAATAAAAACATTTTTTTTTTATAATCATTCATTTTATTTCAATTCTCATCAGGCTGTCCATTAGCATTATTATTATTACCATTTACATCATATGTATTATTAAAAAAGTTTGACTGTAATGAGAGTTATTATAATATTGACCATGTTCATATTTGAAAAAACAGTTTCAAATCATTAATTATTAGGTTTTAACGAATAATTTGTATCAATTTAATTTTTGGAAAATTAATCTACTATATGAATTGTGACCTTATTCCAACTATTTCCATAAGTACTACTAGATATAAGCAAATCAATTTTCACCTACTTCAGTACTGCAAATTGTAGTATTTTAAATTAAAACACGTGTTTTAAAATTACGTTACTTATTTGATTAACATCGTAGTCACTTTTAATATACTTGGAAGAGTTTTAGAAGTGACTAAAAATGCTTCCAAATTTGAGATTTATGGTGAGAAGGATCAAAATTGTATTAAAATTAGAAGGCTGAAATTAGGCTTTATCATCCTAATTGTTATCTACTCAAAAAATGAAACAGAATAATATTAGGATAAAAAGGTTGAATACAGGATAAAAAGGATAGGAATAGTATGAAGAGAATAAATTTAGGTGTTATATTTTGACCCGGGGTTCGTAGGATCGTTTTTTCATGTTGTTTCTTATGAGGATTTATTGATGTTTAAATTTATTTGTTTGAAAATTTTTTCGATGATTGGATGATATTCGATGAATTGAATTTCTAAACCTAACAGTTTGAACTAATTTAAAACATTCATGTGTCAATCTAAAATAAATAAATTGAATATTTAAAAATTTACTACGTTTCAAGGTCTTATATTGCTATTATTTAACAATAAAAAAACTAATATTTATCATTATTGCAGTAAGATCCCACTTTTTTAAGTCATTCAAATTTGAATTGAATATTATATTCCTTCGACTAGACATTATTATCTTTACATGATACTTAGATAATTTTGAAATGATGTTGTATTTATTGTTGTATATAAAAATAAAATGTGAAGTAAATACTTTCTTTATCCATTCAACAATATTAAAAGTGAATATGCAAAAATAATAATGTCAAATACTGTGCTGTTTCATAATGAATTTTCATATTTAAGTTGTATATATATATATATGTAGTGTATTGAAAATTATCATCATATAAAACATTAAAAAGCATTATGTGAAAGTTTGTTGAAGTATTTTCCTAAAAGATAGTGGAATTCATTGATGAAAATATTAAGCAAAACAGAAGTGAGAAAGATCGAGTTGCAGCTTTGAGATAGTTTTACAGGTCTTCATTATGAGATGAATATTCAACCATGCTTAAAACATACTAATGTCTCTAGTGATAGGAATATTTTCAAGACGGAAATGACATGTCAAAGTCTGGAGGTGTTAGATAATGGAAATCTTTCTAAAAGTCATGGGTCTAGGGGTTAAAGATTTTGAGACATATATTGAGAGAAATATTGAGTACTTGACTATGAATTTGAATCAATAGAAATTGTATTAAATTTTAAGATTGATTGTATTTTTTAACTATTCTTTCTCGTGGTATTCATAATTTCATTTATTTATTAGTTAAGGAAAACCAGAAATATATAATTACACTTTAGAAATATTTTTTTTTGATGAAACCGTGAAAAATAAGTTAAAATTAACCTGATTTAAATATACGGAAGTGTGACAAAAATTATTATAACTAGAATGAAAATTACTTTAAACAGAACGAAATTTTATGATCTTCAACTAATTTTTATCTCCTCCCCTCCAATTTTATTGACTAATTTTTAACACACACCCTATTTGTATTTGATTGACTCTCAACATGAGAATAGTAAATAACTTTCTTCATCTAAATAGGTAATATAAATGTAATTAAAAATGTTTCAAGTTTAAGTATATTACATAGCGATACGCTTGTAAATAAATAATTTTCAACTTCATCTTAATGGTGTAAATTTAATAACAATGAAATTCCATTAAAAGATATAGTTTAAATTATTAAGTACCTTTATTCTCAAAATTGCGGAAACATTGTACATTTATTTACTTAAAATAATTTCAATTAAATAAACAAAAATTTTCAAAGACTAAATATTTGTAATTAAGAACATTGTAAATTCAAATAGGTAGGCTAGAAAATGATCTAAAGATAAGCAATGATTTCCAAAAAGACAGTAAAAGTTTTAAGTAAACATTCTAAACAATGGTTATTTTGTTTGAACACCAATTGTATATCAAAAAGGAATCTAAATCATCGTGATTACTAATTTAGAAGAAATAAATAAACAATGAAAGAAAAAGAATCAAAAATGGGAATGTCAAAAGCTATAAAATAAAGGATAGTAAAAGCAGCACATTCAACGAAGCACGTGGATTGAATTGTAAAGCGAGAGGTAAAGATTTTAAAAGCTTTTAAAGTAATGTCATCGCCATGGTTATCTACAGTGTAAACCCTGTGTTAATCTCTTATCACTACTTCGTGTTCATTCAATAACTAATAAAACTTGTCCTTTTTCTGTTCAAAGTGATTATAAGCTTCTGGAGTAGAGCTTTTATGGATAAATAATTTATCACATAAATAAAACATAATTCGTTTTTTTTTTTTTTTGTGTTTCAACGTATTTATAAATAAATATTCTGATTGCAGAATGTCCTGGAGATGACTCGAGGGTATTGAGGAGGCCGAGGTGAAGTTGGAAGTGGCCACGAATGAGAAGTTTTATCTAAACGTGGCGGGAGGAGTATGAGAACAGGGATGGAGGGTAACAACGATACAGAGAGTAGTCTCAATTTAACCGAGACGAACCGTACGTCATCAGTTTACACGATCGGCACCGATTTTATAACTAAATGGAGAGTGACGTAAGTTTCACTTTACACATACGCGTGATTGAGATAGCCCTCTAATATTGTTAGATGTTTAATGGCCACTGAACTGTAGATGAGATAGCATTTAAATATTTTTTAAAAGTATTTTCTAAGGATTCAAGTTTACCTGAATTTATAAAAAATTCTGAAGTTATTTAAATTAATTTAAAAGTAATAATCAAATAGAAATTTTTTCTCTGGAAAACAACGTTAAATGTTTAATCTTCTTGTCTTTACTAGCCGCTTGAAAGGGAGGTGACCTACTTTTTCTAATAGAGAAAGCTTTTTTCGTATTTCAAAGCTTTCAAAAAATCTTCAGTCTTTGTGTTTGATGGTAGGCCTAACGTAGAAGATGGAATCTGTAAAATATTTTTGAAAATTTATGAAATGAAAATTACTTTATAGTTTCCATACTACTGATTATCGTCTTAATTATATAATAACTATTAAAATCTGATTCTAAAGAATTTTTTCACGATTAACAAATATTTATAACATGAAAAAATATTATTTTGCAATCATATTACACGAAGATAGATTTAACTGTACGCTTGGAGGTCATAAAGTGTCCCATTTCGTTTCATTGACATGTGATTTTACATATAATAATGAAAAATTGTCTGTCTGCATGTTTATATGTCTTAAGTTTGGGATTAGATGTAATTTTTTTGCGGATTAAATATTATACTCTACTCCCTTGGCACAAATATATTATTTTTTATGTGTAGTTAATAAATACGCATTCCTCAACTCTATTTAACCTTCAAATATTTTCCGATAGTTCATACATCTTCGCAACAATAATATGATTCTTTATCCATGTAATTGGTAATGTTATTCAAAACTCAAAACAATTTTTTTTTCTAATTTTCCTTCAAATTCTTTCAATAATTTTGTCTTATATTTTTTTTATCAATCAAACTCCAAGAATAGAAATATAGTAGTGCGATAATTTAATTATAACCAATTCATGGAATGAACTAAACCTTGTGTAGGTTGACACCTCATTGTCGATATGCGTTTGTATATACACACGACTAGCATGTATTTTACTGTTTGAAAATACCTAACAATGGAAAATACCCAATTATCCTATGTGTGTAGTTTGCATGTAGAGGATAATCACAGCGCGAATAACCGTTAGTATAACTCGATAAAGTATAGAAAAAGCAAAAGAGTGCTCGTTGACGTGAAAACGTACATATAATATGTATGAGAATGTATGATCGATTGATCCGTGGTTTGTTAGGCATTTTCACTCTTCTAGTACCTAAACTACTTTATACCTTGCATTTTCCTTTACTTTGAAAAATTAAAAATGTTCCATTAATTAACGTCTATTCCAAAAAACAAAAAACCATTTATACTGTAAGTTAAATTTTCTCTTTAGATTAATCTCGAAAATATTTTTATTAACAGCAAACTATACTATATACACCAGAATGTAGATTCTCTTGAAAATTTATTAACCCTTAAGAGGGACACCAACTGAAAATGGGTCAATCAAAATAAAAACTACTTTTTAATTTGAATGATTGATTTAAATATGTGTAAAATTACATAAACATTTATCGTTTGTTATTCTTTAAAAATCCTATTTTCATAATAGGCTTCATGAAGTGTTAATAATTGAAATTAACTTTTGTCAAAATAAATATATTAAATAGGTAAGATAAAAGTTGGTTTGAGCTAGACTACTTTCCCTCCTTAAGTATGAAATATACTATTTTAGTTTATTCCGTAGACTTTTAGCATTTTTGAATCGCCTGAATAGGTTTTACAACTTGTAACTGCACTAAAACAAATTAAAATGGTTACCTCTATTATTTTTATTGGTTGTAAAAAAGAATAATGAAACCACTGTAAATCTCGATTTTCAAAAAGATGGTATTTTTACACATTTAAGTGTGTTAAAAAGAGGTCACTCATTCGATTAGTATTGTAGCTATTTCTAACATTCATAAAAACGTGTAAGAAATAACCTACAATAGCAATAATGTAAGTAACGTCATTTTTAACATACTTAACTGCGTAAAAATAACACGTGTTCGGAAATCAAGATTCGCAATGACTAGAATTTTACACTGCAAATTTGAGATTATACATATACTGCGAAAAGAGTCTGTAAAATCATTATAGTTCATTATCTGTTTAAATTTCAAACATTTGTGAAAGGATTTTGGATTTACAGTGTAGTTAATAGTACATTGTGTATCAAGGGATCTAAGTACCCTATTATTGTCTCGATGATAAGTTAAGTCCCGTAATGCATACAGAACTTTATATATAACAGGTTATGATGATAGTAACTTATTCTAGCCGTGGAGAGGGGTTTAAGTATCCGATTCGCGACACGGTGAAAAGAGCTCCTGTATAGTTTTTGTAAACAAACAAAACTACATAACCTCATAGGATTGTTCGAAAATTTACTTAATCCGTCATTATTTGTTCTAAACACCTCAGAGAAAATTTGGTGTTGTACCTGGAATTGATCATGATTGCGTTTTTGAGTACTTAAGTTACCTAGGGATTTAAGTAAATTACTTGGATCCCGTTTCACAGGTATGATAAGTTATGTTTATCATGCCTCTATTATATAAAAAACATTAATCAATAGTTATATCAAATATATTATAGTTATTATAACTTTACTGGTTGGACTTGATAAATTTTCAAGAAATTCCCAATGAAAGTCATTTTAAGAAGAACATAATCTTACATTTGATTTATTAATGCTAACTTCTTGCATCTTCTACTTCGAATCATAGAATTTTCATCCCTAGTATTGTAGATATACATCTCGGATTAAAATAATTTCAAGCTAGTTGTTACACTTTATATGTATATGGACGCAACATTGTATCTGATAAATTCCTACCTATAATAAACTGTCAAAAAAAATAAATGGTCAAGTCTCACATTAAATGTATCACCTAATCAAAAGCACCAAAAAAAGTTTAATAGTTGATGTTTCCTAGAGGAACTATATAATTAGTATTCATCTGGAGTATATACTCCAGATGAATAAAAAATTCTTTTAGCGCATGGGTAAAAACGTTTTTTATTAATACTGAATCGTTTCTTTGACATCTTGCTCATTAACATGTGTATTAACAGTCGTTTAACATTTAATGAATCCTTTCGTTACTTTTATAAAAAGATTTATTAATAATATTAATACATTATCAACGATTCATTAATTTTTTATTGGAGCAATGGATAAAATAAATATTTGTGAATCATTTATTCAAATAAATTTGCTTGACTCAAATAAATAATTTATTGATACCTTGTAACACGACAATTTATTGTGAGAATCATCCGCCTCATATTCCCTCACTATTCTATTAGTTGATTGAGGAAATAGTCAGTCAAAGAACAACACCTAAAACTGTGTCGAGGTACAACAGTCGACGCAGATTAAGAACCTCCTTGTCTATTGTGAAAATCTCATAACTTAAGTAATAAAATTTATATTTATTAAAGATGGTGGAATACAAATTATAATGAAATAATGAACAAGATTACACTGCAAATCGTAGTGTTTTAAAATGACGTCACCCATTTGATTAACATTTTATTTACTTTTAATGCACTTGGAAGTGTTTAAAAGTGACTACAATGTGAATCAAATAAGTGACGTCATTTTAAAACACTTATCCGCATTAAAATAATGCATTTTGGATTTGCAGTGTTATTAATTACAAAACTCTTTGAGTCATAACTCACACAATTACTAAAAAATTATTTTGCAATGAGTAACACAGTTAGTCTTACAAACGAGATTTATGAACTATAAATAAATCTGTATTTATATCAAATAAACGTTAACAGAAATTTCTTTCAACCAAATGCTTCTATCACTGCAATAAATGACTTACATTGTTTTTTCTGCTTACTTAATATTGACAGTTATAATTTAAATAAGTGGGAGTCAAATAAAAATAGCATGTTGATGGCATCTGTTTAAGTAACTGTTGAAATAATAAAAAAACTTGTCAATAATTAAGAGATTTATCCTATTAATACCTTTTTTTTAAAATGACTAGCGAGTTTTCATAATTAATTACAGGATAAAATTAAATTGTAGTAGTCTCAAATGCATCTGTACATATACATAAATTAGTTAAAGTTCATAGCCATTAAATGACTGTTGTGTATCTGCATATGACATTGCATATCCACTTTCCAATTGACTTGTGGCAATATATTTACGTACACCACAAACTACCACGCATAAATTAGTTCAGTCAATCTTCGTCAGCTTGTACTCCAACACCACCATTCATCTCGGCGCTTTATTTACTCAATCTCACATCACTTTCCTTCTCTATGCTCCTTTCAGCTTTGAACGAGCATGTTGCAGAGTCAATTTTAAACGGGGCGAAAAATTTACGATGACGGGAGTAGTCGCGTAGTGCTCATCAAGTGCAACTAAGGTATATATCAAAGCACAATTTCAAGTGAGATGAGCAAGTACTTTGAAAATTGAAACAATGAATGAGGAAAAATTTGTTGAAAATATTTCAAATTTATGTAAACTTATTTATCATAAGCAAAATATAACCTTGACCTAACTTTATTTTCACTTGTGGTATTAAACAAAAAAGTAAAATGAATAAACAGATAAAAAATTATCCTATTTGCAAGATAAATAATCATTCAGAGAATTACAGAAAAAATATAAATATAATTTTCTATAAATTTATTCAATGCTACTGTCGTGCTGTGAATCGTGATCACGCAAACTGAATCATTGGTCCTATGGGACAAAAGCATAATTTTCCAACCACGCGATTAAACGCATTGTGAACTTAATATTTTTATTCGATATTACGTCAAAAATTGCCAGAAAAGTCCTTAATACTAATGAAACTTACACTGTAAATCTCATTTTTCCAAAATGCATTATTTTAATGCGGATAAATATGTTGAATATGACGTCACCCATCTAATTAACACTGTAGTCACTTTTAACACACTTAGAAATGTGT